GGCATACAGGCTACTGGGCTAGATGGACCTTTGGTCTGACCCAATACGGCCATTCTAAGCTCAGGGCTCTGGGTCGGGGGTCTCAGTGGACCACCTTGATTTTCAAGCCAACCTGCTCCTGGGTGGCCAGGCTGGCAGCTCTCCTGCCCTAGACGGCAACTTTCCTGTGCCTAGTGCAGAGGTCGTGGATGAGGTCCACGATGTTTGCACTAGACCAGGCGGGCGCCCGCCTCTTACGCACCTGGGCAGGCTCCTGGGAGCCATCAGCATGGTCCCGGGAAGAGGCGGAGGGCTGGGTGGCAGCGGGTGGCTGGCTCGAGCTGTGCCAGGTGCAGGGTCTGCTGGCTGGGTGCTGGCAGGCTTGCACCTGGCCCGGGCTCCGGGGCCAGGAGGGGGGCAGAAGAGTTTCCCTGGTGGTGCCCAGAGTGGTCACCAGGGAAAGCTGGGAAGGGCTAGCCTCCCACTAGTTCAAATTAAGTGGCTACACAGCCCTTAATTCGAACTACTTAATTCAAACTAGGTGTTAGTCCTCGTAGAATGAGGTTTACCTAGTTCAAATTAAGCGCACCGCTAGTTCGAATTAAGTTCGAACTAGCGGTTTGCATGTGTAGCGCCTATTAAAGTTCATTCGAACTAACATCTGTTAGTTCGAATTAACTTTGTAGTGTAGACATACCCTTAGAGATTAAATAAATTGTATCTGTGGGTACTAGCAAAAAAAAATGTAGAACCCTTAAGAAAATCACTTTTCCAGTCAAAATGATTAATGCACTTTGCACCATTGAATGCTGGTGCAAACAGCATTTGTGTGTAGCAGTTTTAAGTGCAAAAAATGACAGGCTCAAAGACTTGTTTTGCACTTAGCGGACCTGCTCACACATATTATAGGTGAGATTTTCTGAGCTTTTTTTCAGATGAACAATAGTATCCATTTCTTTCCTTCAGTGTAGTATCAAAGCTGTGGAACAGAATATAAGTGCTGCCGCACATGCCTCAGCTTCAGTGAATTCATATTGCCTCCTAAACACAAACCTCGGTTCTCCTCCTTCTTAATTCAACATTAACATTTTAGAAATAAATTTAGTACAAGTACATGGTGCAAGATCAACAGCATTGGTGTGAAATCCTGTATCTATGAAACAGGTACAATACAGGCAGTCATAGTGCAGGCTCCCTCATGCTGCTCTCTGGTGGTGCTCAAGTCTTGTCGTGGCATTACCATATGTTCCGGGTAAAGGCTGTCTGTTAGGATTGCTATCACGAGGTGCTAAATATGATGTGGGCACTTGTCCACTAACGGATGGATCACCAACTAATTTTAGATAGTCCAACAATTACTATGGACTTGATTCTCATTATACTAAGGTCCCTTTTAAGTTGTCAGAACTGTGTAAAGAGTGATAGAAATGTAGCCGTGTTAGTCTGGGGTAGCTGAAGCAAAATACAGGACAATGTAGCACTTTAAAGACTAACAAGATGGTTTATTAGATGATGAGCTTTCGTGGGCCAGACCCACTTCCGAGGTCTTGGTGTATATAATAAATGGACCAATGATTTTAGGCATTACAGTGCTGACCGTAACTGACCTGGGACAGATTTAAATTAACTAGAGGTGAATGGCTTTGTTTTGTAGTACCAACCCCCTCTACTTCTTTATTTGTTTACTAAGTTAACAAATTTAGCATGGGAGGGGACAATGAAAAATTGTTAGAGGGTCACATATATTTTCTCCTATTTTTAAACAAATTAAGTTTATCTACTCTAATTGTATTTTTGGGTGAGAGAAGGTGAGCCTAGTAAATAAGGCCCAGAGCCTCAAAGGTATTTTGGTGCCCAACTCCCATAGCTTTCATTGCGAGTGTGGTGCCTAAATGACTTTGAAGATCAAGGTCAACATGACAGCTCATAAGTGCAAAGCATGAGTGTGGCCAATAAATCTGATCACATCACGACTTTGGGTGTACCTACCCCTGGGGCTGGAGGTGTAAAAGTCAACACAAGTAGACAGCCCCACTCTAGTTCTGATTGTGTTAACAAGCTAAAAATGGAAGTATAACTATGATGGCACAAGCAGTAAGATAGGCTAGTCACACACCCCTGTACAATTCCATCCAAGATGTTAGATGTGTCATCAGGGCAGCCAGCACCTCCTACTATTTGAACTTCTGTGGCTATACTTCTATTTTTAGGATGCTAGTTCAATCAAAGCTGGTGTGGGATCTACATTTACACTTTCAGCTCTAACGTAAACGTACTTTTCAAGAGTGCGTTTGTCTGATGTGCAATAACACAGACTGACTTTTTGGGCTGATTTTCAAATTACATGCTCCTAGTTACAGAATGACAGGATTTTAGTTGTGTTAAAGGGGGGAAAGTTTGCTGGGTCACTAAGAATTGTGAACCACTGGAAGAGGCTACCCTCTTTCTTGTTTTATTAAATTGAATTCTTACAGAATTAAAGCTTCTGAGCTCCTGGGGAAAATGGGAGGTTGCTTGTTTCTTGATAGCCCTTCATTTTACTGCTCCATAAGATTAATTTTTTTCATACTTTTCTATATATCATACTCTTTTAAGCTGGCATATTGGAGCTTCCTCCCCACCCCTCGCCCCCCAAAAAACTCTCTTACCTTCAGGAATGGGGGACTCTCTTTCTCTGAACCCAGATTAAATTTCCAAGGAAAGGACAGGTTAGGTTTACTATGGTACTGTGAACTTGGTGCTCATATATAATATGATTTTCTGCAGGTCATAAACAATCACACAAGAAATCACTACCAGGCTTTAATACTACGTTTCACAATGTATTTTTAAAATTTGCTCTTACATACTGTTTCATTGGGGTCTGTTTTTTAGAGCTCTGTTATCTTTATCTGGGACCAGATTTTCAAAGTTATTTATTTAAGTGTCTAGAGATGCATATAGGCACTGAATGGAAGTTTTAAAGTACCTATTCAAAATCTCACTAGATGCCTATCTTCTTTACTCTTTAAGGACCCTTTGGAAATCTGGCCAAGAGGCAAAATTCCATCTGGTATAATTCCACTGAATTGGAAATTTGGCTCATTTATATATTCTGTACTCTTTGTCTGCAGACATGAAGGCATTTCATATTTGGTCCAGAGGAGGGAGGAAATAGCCAATAATAGGGCCATTGAGGCTTTATTTGAACAGGAGGATTATTGAACTAGTACAGGATATACTGAAATTGGAGGATCTGTCCTGTGGCTTTTATTTTGATAAAGTCTGTAATTTTTTACAGTTTGTGTAACAAGACTTAAAATTATGGAAATCCATGTGGCCATCCTTCTGGAATTCCTGATAGTGACAAGAGGCCTATTAACTGTGGTTGTTGCCACAACAAACAGCTTCTATTAATCTCATAAATTTTCATAAGGCTTTTTTCATTCCCAGGTTGCTAATCATCATTCCCCAAAATCATTGCAAGCTAAATATCAACATCATTAGTCATTACCAAGAGGGTCGTTTTTAAGGCAGTGAACAAAATAATTCTGGTTTCTTTCAGTATGCAACTTGAAATCTCAAGTCTCGGTATCCACTCAGAACATTATGTGCATATTGATGAATCAAATAGTAGTAAGTTGTGAGAAATCATCTTGTGAATTTCCTTTTATTTCAAATGTCATCTAATTTGTAAAGCCAGCTGCTATCAGTTCCTCTTCTAGGGTGCCAAAATTACAAAATCTGCGTGGAGTTAATCACACTGGGCCAAACTCATCCCTAGTGTAACTCCACTGAAGGTAAATTTGTCCCATTCTACGTCAGTTCTGGCTATTGTTCTCAAAAATGACTGATGAGTGTAGGTGCCCCAATATTTGGGTCCCAATCTGAAATATCTCAAACGCCTGATTTCCAGAAGTGGAGCCTACTGAGCACTGTTTGAAAATCAGGCTATCTCAAATTGGGGTCCCAAAATCACTACTTACTTCTTAAAAATCTTGGCCTCTTTTGCTGCTGTGTATAACCTCTGGACTGTTTGTATGAGGAGAGGCATAAAACCCATGGTTTTGTATAAGTAATCATCTTTATTTATTAAGGATCCCACCTGGTAATAAGTGATAACTGCTAAACTGTAAATGTGTGGGTGTGAAAAACAAAACATTGAAATTGTCATTAGTGGTATGTTGGACTTGCAGAGGATATATTCTATACTGGCAGAACGTGTGGGCTAAGCAATAAAAGAACTTGAAAAGAGGTAATGACACTTGAGCATCTGAGGGAAAGATTAAGTAGGAATGCTACTTGCTGAGGGGAGGATGGGAAGTAATGTGCTTCGCAACTTGGGAACCATAATCAAGATGATTTATAATGACTAAGATAACTTTAAGCACCTCATAATAAAAGATGCCTCCCTCTTCTTAATTTGCAGGTTGCCTGAGGCCATTGGTTCTTCCTCATAGTTACATTAACATATCTGAGTTCGAGTCTTCCTTTCCAATAGGAACAGTGGTATATTATCAGTGCTTTCCTGGATATAAACTGAAGGGGACAGAATTCCTTGAGTGCATGTATAACCTTATATGGTCACATAGCTCACCTAGGTGCCTTGATGTGGAAGGTAAACCAATTTATTTGTTTGTTTTTAACTTTGGCCAATTAACATAATATATTTTATTTGAATGTAGAGCTACAGTTTTTAACTCCATTTTGCCCAATGCCTCCTGGAGATGTACAAAATGCATCTGTTCAACCTCTTGTTTTGTTGTGTGTATAATTTGTAATCTGGAACATCACATAGCTTAACTGTTAAAGTCACTTACATAATGCTTGCTCTGCCATAATTATAATAGTTGACATTTGTAACAAGGAAGATGGTTTGTACTTAAAAGCTAAAAACTATGTGGTTTGCTGTCTTTCTAATGAAATGCTAAGAACGTTAATGAATTTATATTCACATAAGGACAGCCTGAGTAGCTGAAGGTTTCAACACCATACTTTTTTGGACTAAAAGCATTTGCAAATACTATTAAGTACCAAGTTTAATTTCAGTTTGCATGCTAAGTGTACACACAATCTAATACTGCATGATTTTGCCTTCAGACTATTGAATGTACTACCCTAAAGTAGTGGAGTGTTTCTTATTTTTAATTAGCAGTCCAGTTTCCAAAATTCTAAAAGGGCTTTGCAGTGTAAGAGTTCCACCTACAGGAACTGATTTTTCTGATCTGACATCCTAGAAATTTAACTACAAAACAACCCTGCATAAATCATCTTTGTTTTTATTTTTTGTAATCCATGAAATACATGTTAACAAATAAAATTATAGAAAGAGACTACCTGTCAGATGTCGTAAAAGAAACTATGAAATGAATCAGGATAAGCCAAAAATAAGTCTTTGATGTATTAGACAAGAGCATTAAAACCTACAAACAAAAAATATTCATAACTGAAAATTTTGTGTCACTTCCCTGCCCTCCCCTAACAGAGATGACAATCTAAACTGCCTGTTCCAGCTTCCGTCAAAGTACATGACAAAACTCCTGTTGACGTTAATCATTATGGAAGCATGTATCTAATAGTTCCTACAGTTCCATTGCGCAAAGCTTCTTAAAAAGAGAGAGAGAGCATGAGAGAATCCCTGCCCTGTTGATTTTGCAATCTGAATAGACATGACAAATAAAGGGCAGGAGAGGCAAAGTAGTAGCATCCCCAATTTACAGATGAGGAACCGAGAGAGAGAGATTTAAGTGCCTTGTCCAGAGTCACACAGGAATTTTGTGACAGAGTGGGAAACTGAACCTAAACCTCTAGAATCCTGAATCAGGCACTTAATCATAAGCTCAGTCTTCCTCATGGTCACTTTTGGCACAAGTCTTGTTTTTCTGCTGCAACACTGATCAATTGTTTCCCCGGTGATTATTGTAGAAACCCCATATATACAGGTGATGAATAAACTACGGATGTTTCAGATAGTCCCAGAATGTGTTAGCTTGAGATTTTTGGATCTTTTCTGTTTCTGTATGGATAGGACAGTCTTAACTGACCACTCCATTTCTCAGGTTCCATGTGGGGATGATGTAACTGGAACACACAGAACTTGTAAAGTTCCATCCTGCACCTGTAAATCAACTTTAAGTATTCACATTTGAAAATGTTGCACTAAGTGACTTAATCAAGAAGCATCAAACGCCAGGGGTCCTGTCTCTCATCTAATTCTCTAATCACTGAATAGCACTCACCCTTCTTATTCGATATTATAGAATAGTAGAAGTGCAGGGATGGCGAGAACCTCAAAGTCATCAAGTCCACTTCCTTCCACTGAGGCATGACCAAGTGAACACAGACCATCCCTGACAGTGTTTGTCCAACATGGTCTTAGTAACATCCCATGATGAGAATTCTACAACTTGCCTTGGAAGCCCATTCCAGAACGTCACTCTCCTTACGGTTACAAATCTTTTCCTAATAGCTAATCTAAATCTCCCTTGCTGCAGATTAAGAAAAATTCTTCTTGTCTTGGTTTCAGTGGACATGAAGAACAAATGCTCACAGTCCTCTTTAGAAAACCCTTTGACAATTAGTTGGTCCCTCCTCATTCTTCTTGTATCTGTGCTAACCATGCCCAGTTTATTTAACCATTTCTTATAGGTCAAGTTTCTTCTTTGAGTGTTTTTTCACATTGATTCCAATCAGGTGTATGCAGGGCATGATTGCTGAAGCCCCCCCAACCTGCAGTTGTCCCCCACATTAATCAGATTGCAGCGAGCCGGGTTATGCTGGTCTGTGCTGCAGTCACATCTTTGCTACCCATGTAGACAGCCCCTGAACCACTGGAAATTGAGCTTCTAGTCCAGCCTGGTGTTTGACCTCAGGCATGTCACAGCCTCCACTGTGCCTCAGTTTCCCCAGCTGTAAAATGGGAACAATGTTGGCCTCCTTTGAGTGTTACCAATGGGCGGAGCAAGGGCTGGCAAGGACAAATCTTGCCTTGGTCATGCGGGCTTGGTACCATTCCAGTGGGCGGATGGTGCCATCAGTTGCTTGATAGCACTTTGTGTCCAGATGAAATCAAGTGAGGCAGTCCAGTGACAGACAGGTGAGTGGCTAAAAGTCAGTGGGTAGGGAACTGGGTGCCAGGCGGCGGGTCACTGGCAAATTCAGCATACGAGGAAAGGGGCTCCCCACGCCTCCGTTCCCAGCACTTGCGGGCGGAGTTCACAAATGACACAGCTCTTTTCGCTTCCCCACCAGCCAAGCCATAACTTTACTCCAGGTCTTTAACACGTGCTGTCCCTTGCCTTGGCTGGGCACTGCTCTGGGGCGGACCCAGTTCTCCTAGCCCAGAATCAAAGAAGTGTCCAAAACGTGGGGTCGGAGGGCTCAAGCACCCAGACCCGTGATCCCCCACTCTGCTGTTCTTGCCCCAAGGCCACACACACTGTCCCACCCCCCGAAAATGCTCCTGAGCTACCTCTTCCTCCCAAGATCCACCCCCCACTTGTATTCTCCCCCTGCCATTGCCTGCTCTTACACGCCTCTGGCCCCCTGCTCCTGCCCCCTGGCTCCAGGGGCTGCCGCTGGAGACTGGCAGGTTTTCTACCAGCTGATGCCAGAGCCAGGCACCCTCAGCACCTCCCCCAACCAAGGCACCCCTAGTACCCTCCAAAAAAATCTCCCTCCCTCAGAGCCAAGCAACCTCAGCCCCCCCAACCAAATCCCCCTCCTTCAGAGCTAAGCACAGAGCCAGAGGAACCTCAGCGTGTGAATGGCTTTGCATGACTGAGTTTGTGCCATTCATTCCACACGTGGAAATTAAAACTCAGGTGACTGGGAGCTGATTAATTTATATTTCATGTCTTTAATTTCTGTGGTTTTGGAGGAACAAGAATTAAGTGACATTACCCATAACTCAAAAGGTTAGCATCTGAACCTAGTCTGGTTCCAAGTAAGCTTTGATGTTCACACCTTACTGACAAAATGGCAGAGAGGAAGAAGGGACAGGTAAGTTTTCACATTTGACTGGTGTTTGACTAGAGAGAGTTTACTACAAGCTATCTCATCAGCCCTTTTCCCCAAAAATGGAGTATAGCTGGGATTATCTCAGGGTAAGCACAGGGGTTCACAACCAGCCAGCCAATTAAAATTAAAGAGGGGAAAAAAGACCATCGAAAGGCAAACTTTAACTAGGCAGCACAGGATCACAGGCCTCCCAAGAAATGAGGCCTCAGACTGCAGGCACAGCACACAACCACAGGTTACTTGATGATAAGTGCATGAATTAATGACAAGCTGTCTTTTGGGAGTGACAGGAACTCTGAGTTAATATTTAATCACAGAAGAGTGGCAGTGTTCAAGATTGAATCATTAAAAATATACATTTATTTTATCAGATATTAAAATCAGGACTAGTCAAGGTAAACATTTTCATTTTCTTTTTAAAAGAAAGTTCATTTGCTTGAATAATTTTTCAATAATTGGTTGGTTCTCCTATAGAAAACGAGCAAAAGAGATCTAAGAAAGGGGAGGATGACAAAAGCAAAGTCCCTTTTGTCAAAAGACAGAAAATTTTGACCAGAATTCAAAATTTCATTAAAAAGCCATTTTTATCACAAGTAGTTATGAAGACAAAATTTCAAGCCATTTCTAATTAGCATGGGCTGATAAGATGGATATCTGAGTGGCATGACCCAGTTATCCTTTATTACGGTTACCATGAGGATGTCAAAGGGTAATGGATCATGGAGGGAAATTACTAGATAACATCATTTTAAGCAGAGATATTAAAACAGCTTACAGTTTCATTCTGCCTGCAGGTAAAGGAGCCAACAGACCCCTGGGGAAGATGGGGGGGACATGGCTCTGAGCTCCCAGAAGGGGGCCAGGCTGGAGGCAGCCAGTCCTCAGCACCCCCCAGAGCACACTGCACTGCATCCCCTCCCCTTCAGCCAGGCCTCAGAGCTGCCCAGTGTGTGTGCTCTACCTCACTCTTGCAGTGATTTAAAGGGGCCAGGGCTCCAACCGTCACTGTTCCCACTGGAGTGGCAGAGGCTGGGAGCCTTGGGTCCTTTTGAATCACCAGGCCTGGGGCAACAGCCTCCTTTGCACCCCTGGCTCCGGTGGTGATTTTGGATTTAGAACATAAACAACAGATATTAAAGTATAATCACATGCTATCACTTGAAGCAGCCTTCCAAAAACCAGTTTGTGACTACTACAGAACCAGGCTATTCTTTCCTGAGATTCTCCCATCTATTCATTTAAAATCTGGCACGAAGAGACATTCTTCAAACACACCACTCACACTAAGCTATGGAATCAATTACATTTGCAGGGACAGTACCTCCTCTCTGGCTTGTGTCGGTGCCTTTGAGAATGCCGGCTGCCTCTCATCATTCCTCTGTTCAGATGGCTGTCATTGCGGCCTGGCGATGGAGCCAAAGCCCAGAGACCTCTCTGAAGCCGCTCCTCATTTCTGTGAAGTGGCACGGACGTACGGATAGCAGAGATGACATGGCCAGAATAAGGAGTTAATGGATCTTCATCACGGCGGGAATGCTGGGGTGCGAGAGCTCTTTCCGAGGCTGGGTACTGTAGCCCTGGCCTAGGATAACTTCTGTC